GTATAGAGTGAGATCACGTCAAATGACTCGATCACTGCGCTCGAATCAAACCTAGCGCTTTGGAGTTGTTTGATAAATTCATGCGAGCTGGGCAAATGTGCCGGTATCTTTGGTAGCATCTGGCTCACTGTTTTGTTCAAGAACCACGAGATTCTGTCGGTAGGGCCGCCCACACAACTGATTATTGGTCTAATTTTGTAAGTTTCAGACATTGAGTCCATGTCCCGTGAAGAAAGCTTGTGCGTTTTTAGAAGGCTGTAAAACACTGGACAACTTGGACTCCTCAATTTCAACCTGCATACAACGCGCAGAACTGCAAGATGATGTTGCTTTAGTGTCCATTCCGAACGAAACATCAAGAGCAGTTGGTTAGAAATAGATTGTATGATCGATACTGTATGTTGAAGCAATGCTGCGTGGTATGCCCGCACGGTAAACTAGGCGATTGTGCTAAAGTGGGAGTGATTTATCAAATTGAATGTCTTAGCTGTAATGCACTCTACATTGGAGAGACAGCAAGACCATTAGGCACTCGCATAAATGAACACATGACAGATAAAAGGCGTAAAACCCAATTATCACCTCTGGGCAGGCATAGAATTGAAACGCATGGTGGAGATGACTTTAATATCAGATGTAAAATCTTAACTTACGAAAAGGGAAACCTCGGCTAGGAAAGCGTTAGAAGCGTTCTGGATTTCAGTGAAAAATCCAGCTATGAACAACAAAAATGAGTGCCTGTCCATAACCTCCGACTTTCTTCCCTTCATATCATTATGCGATCTGTAGGTGACATACGATGGTCATCTATGGTATACTTCATTCTTCCGCCGTGACCATCATTTCCGGTGCGGAAACTCGCATAGTGGTGATCTGTCGGTATGTTCATCTTCCGCCCTGACGTTTTTGCAATAGGGAAGTCAGGCGAAAGTCGAGAACTAGCAGGATTAGAAAGGGTGTTTGATGGCGTGGAGCTACAGATGACACTTTGAGCCATTTTCAGGCCTCTGAGGAAGACGAAGGCGTCGAAACGTTAGGCCTCGATTGATTAATAAAGATCACCTAACAAACCTGTTTGGCACAGAATACTTTGTCAATACGAACAATGCCCAGGTTTAAAGAAAGTGGAACTTGGAAGTTATTGGAAGACATACCGCCGAATCTGTTCCGCTTGGCATGTGAGACGTTATCGCTTCGACAAAAGGCGGTAGCTGTTCGCCAATCCTTAATGTTCCTCCAACGTTGCAAGAAATCGAATATCCTGCCTGCCTTCATTACGAATAAGAGAATAGGATATACCTGTGATCTCAGCGAAGATGATCCGAAGATAGTAAAGATCTACCAGTCTATTTTGAACGTTATCATCAAGCAAAAACAGAGATCATTGTATACCACTTTATTGAAATGCAATGCTAAAAGAACAGGCATGTAAACGTCTCTTGCCTATTGAACGTTGGAGGAGGATTGAGGATGGGTCAAAGCAATCTGTAGTTTGATTCGATCTAAGATCAAGTCCGAACTCCGAGCAAAGTACGACCGACTCCTCACTGATCTATGTAAAAATTGTTCACGTGGTAGAAATGACAGATCCGACAACCGCTTTGAACATCTTGCATGTCACAATGAAGGAAAGTTGAGAGTTACGGTTATTGGCAGCGCTCAAATTTCCACTAATATCGAAGAGCTTCTTAGCCTTGGCCCTTCATTCTCACCTGCACAAAATGTTAACGCTGCGATTTGTCGCAAAGTAGTCGGAAGCCTGCACAAACTTAGAGACTCTCTATGAATACGAGAGAGAAACAAGAGTCGCGCAACGACAGCAGTCAACAACTCTCAAAGCTTACTACCAACAATTCCATTCCCACCATCGTTTTACAGACAACCCGGACCCGTTCTTGAAGCAGACATCAAGTTCCGTCTCTTATGCTCGGGTGTTCTAGAAGTTCTCAACAGAGCAAAGCGACAGCATCAGAGCAACCTGACACGCAGACAATGGCAGGGATTCAAAGAGATGCGTGAACTCATTTCAAACGGTTCAGTACGATTGTCTGTAAGCGATAAAGGTGGCGAGTTTGTGGTAATGCCCCAAGAGTTAGACCGCCGCATAACAACAGCCCATCTAGCCGACTCTACAACGTACAGAGTAGTCTCTGAGAAAGAATTCCAATCACAATGCAAGAAACTGAATGACACTTGGACGGCAATAGGCAAATCTGCCGGACTAGAGGATAGGTTTATAAGCAGGTTGAAATTGAGGAGTCCAAGTTGTCCAGTGTTTTACAGCCTTCTAAAAACGCACAAGCTTTCTTCACGGGACATGGACTCAATGTCTGAAACTTACAAAATTAGACCAATAATCAGTTGTGTGGGCGGCCCTACCGACAGAATCTCGTGGTTCTTGAACAAAACAGTGAGCCAGATGCTACCAAAGATACCGGCACATTTGCCCAGCTCGCATGAATTTATCAAACAACTCCAAAGCGCTAGGTTTGATTCGAGCGCAGTGATCGAGTCATTTGACGTGATCTCACTCTATACCAATGTGCAGAATGAGCAAGCCTTGCAGGCTCTATCGGAGATGTTGGATAAATACGGTGGTACTATGAATATGTTTGGACTGGGCAAAGCGCGAATCATGACCCTGATCAGCGAATGTTTGAAGTGCAACATCTTTAGATGGTCTGGGACCTATTACTCCCAGATACGCGGCTTAGCTATGGGTCAAAGATTAGCGCCAGTGCTCGCCATTTGCTTTACGAGCAAAATTGAAGAACCGGTATTAGCTCGCATGCCGCTGATGTACTGCCGTTACATCGATGATTGCGTACTGTCACCTCCACGCAGTCCGAAATGGACATGTGTTTCGACCTTTTCAACCCGCAATCGCGGTACATAAAGCTCACTCGAGAAGCACCAGATAACGGGTGGCTACCCTATCTCAACGCGCAAGTGAAGTTGTCCAAGGGCATTGTGAGCATGAAATGGTTCCGTAAAGAGAGCTCCAAGAACATCCTTATAAATATAAAATCCGCACATCCAGCATCCATGAAGAGAGCTGTCATTGGAAACATGTTCAGAACAGCTATGCAGATGTGCTCTGGAGAAAGAGAACGTTGCGAGTCACGAGAATTAGCGCCACAGATTGCTTGCAGCAATGGGTACCATTCTATACCACATAGTCAACATCTTAGAAATGGTAACAACATCCATAACGATAATAAGCTTCCACTATGCCTTCCGTTTATCTCTGATAGCGTCAATGCGGCTTTTCGAAAATGCATACAACGCGCAGAACTGCAAGATGATGTTGCTTTAGTGTCCATTCCGAACGACAACATCAAAAGCAGTTGGTTAGAAATAGATTGTATGATCGATACTGTATGTTGAAGCAATGCTGCGTGGTATGCCCGCACGGTAAACTAGGCGATTGTGCTAAAGTGGGAGTGATTTATCAAATTGAATGTCTTAGCTGTAATGCACTCTACATTGGAGAGACAGCAAGACCATTAGGCACTCGCATAAATGAACACATGACAGATAAAAGGCGTAAAACCCAATTATCACCTCTGGGCAGGCATAGAATTGAAACGCATGGTGGAGATGACTTTAATATCAGATGTAAAATCTTAACTTACGAAAAGGAAACCTCGGCTAGGAAAGCGTTAGAAGCGTTCTGGATTTCAGTGAAAAATCCAGCTATGAACAACAAAAATGAGTGCCTGTCCATAACCTCCGACTTTCTTCCCTTCATATCATTATGCGATCTGTAGGTGACATACGATGGTCATCTATGGTATACTTCATTCTTCCGCCGTGACCATCATTTCCGGTGCGGAAACTCGCATAGTGGTGATCTGTCGGTATGTTCATCTTCCGCCCTGACGTTTTTGCAATAGGGAAGTCAGGCAAAGTCGAGAACTAGCAGGATTAGAAAGGGTGTTTGATGGCGTGGAGCTACAGATGACACTTTGAGCCATTTTCAGGCCTCTGAGGAAGACGAAGGCGTCGAAACGTTAGGCCTCGATTGATTAATAAAGATCACCTAACAAACCTGTTTGGCACAGAATACTTTGTCAATACGAACAATGCCCAGGTTTAAAGAAAGTGGAACTTGGAAGTTATTGGAAGACATACCGCCGAATCTGTTCCGCTTGGCATGTGAGACGTTATCGCTTCGACAAAAGGCGGCAGCTGTTCGCCAATCCTTAATGTTCCTCCAACGTTGCAAGAAATCGAATATCCTGCCTGCCTTCATTACGAATAAGAGAATAGGATATACCTGTGATCTCAGCGAAGATGATCCGAAGATAGTAAAGATCTACCAGTCTATTTTGAACGTTATCATCAAGCAAAAACAGAGATCATTGTATACCACTTTATTGAAATGCAATGCTAAAGAACAGGCATGTAAACGTCTCTTGCCTATTGAACGTTGGAGGAGGAT